ACAACGTTTCGACAAGGTTTTGTCATCATCAGGTACCCGATGATGACAAAACCTTGTCGAAACGTTGTACATTTGCTGTTATATTAAAGTTTTTCTTCATTACCCATTCAAGCCATCTCCAGCCATTATTAGATATGATCAATTAGATTGTTATACCAAGCCATGTTGAAGTCACTCCATTAGGTATTCCTCATGTGTTAAAGTTAGTAGATAATTACATTTAAAACAGTGTTTTCCTAATCTGATAGTATCTCTAAGGTAAGCTGAGCCTCAAGCAGTTCAAGCTTATTTAGTAGGTAATCAGCCTTGAGTAAGATAATTTAAATGATTATGTCAAGCAGTATTAATTTAATCACTGGGCAATCATCTTGGGTTAATATAACTCCGAGATTTAGCTCCATCAAGCTGTGTATAATGTAAGCATAAATATTATTTAAACAGTTAAGTTGATATTTACATCAAATGGAAGGACTGCCTTAAAAACAGCAAGATGAAATGGAACATATTTATAATAAAAAAAACAAGACTTAATAAAATTACAATACTGCAAAACTAGAACAAAGTCACCAGGGTACAAGCTACAATGTGGGATATAAAAAGTTTCTGGTTTTTGGAGGTGACTGGTTTGAGTTTATTTAGTAGCAGTTGTCCATCAATTAAATGACTTATTATATTGTGTCTATTATAATATGAGACCAGTTGTATATAGTCTTTCTCGTGTATGTCTGTCAAACAAGTTGTTGATATTATGGTGTGTTTTGTTCACTCTGGAAATACAACTTCCAATAAACCAGGTGAGATGTAAAAAAAGCATGTAGATGACATATAGTTGATAACACTTAGTTTTTATAAGATTATATTAAAACTGTAAAAGTCTAGTAACTTTTTAACCTGCGTAAGAAATGAGAATTAAACCTATCATTAATCAACTTCCCATCACACACTGTAGTAATATTAACAAAAGAACAACATTAACAAAATATTCTTAAAATTAGTTGCTCAACACTCAGTTTTTTATTTAATAATACTAGAAATAGCATAAAATAAATGCACCATACTAATATAGATAAATACATATGAGTAACGGTTGGATCATTTCTCTTAGATGCAATAATAAAACTTTAATTTGTTGTATTCAAAACTAGATGATTGACCCTTAAAAAAAAAATACATGGCTTCATATTCAACTATAAGAACCCTCTACACATTCACACTATGGTTAGCTCATCTACATGCACAAGATAGATCAATGGTTTTCCATGGTGTGACCACAAACAATGTCACTGCCTCACATTTCAAGATGGTCTGTTTGTGCATGGCCTAGTAGTTAGTGTATTGGAATGTGAATCCAATGGTCCATGATTCACATCATTTTGTCTCAAAATTACACTCTGCACTTGGGGGTCATGGGTGGTTAGTAAGAGTGACGGGGAATTTTTTTTTTTTATTAGAGTAGCCAAAGAGGTGGCCATGGGTGCTGTTGACTAATGTAACATAATTGAATTCTAACTAGATATATTTTATTCCAAAAAATTCTTCGTGTTTGAAAAACTGCTGTGTATATTTTAAAAATAGAAAAGTCTTTAAACTGAATTTATTTTTAAATTTTATTTGTAAACAAGAATTTAATGGTTTAATAAATGTTTTTTTAACCTTTCTTTCATGTATGTTACAGAAGAGCCATCTAGGAAGCCATCTAGACCAGTGTAGAGTTCGTGCCTTTTCTGTTGGGAGTCAAGTCACAAGAGTAGCATCTAAGATTCAGGGGACAGCCGAGTCTGAGCTTGGAACTTTAAGATCTGTGGATGAAATAGTCTCAAAGAAGTTCTCTAGTGCACCTCTTCTACCAAGTATACCTTGGCAAGCTAGATCTTCTGCTAACAAAGGAGGTTACAGTGAAGATTTGATGGAAATGGACTACAATCCAGCACCTAAAGTAGAAGTAACTACAGATCAGGAGCAAACTGAACCTATTAAAAAGTACTCTATTGGAAGCAGTCGACAGAGGTCCAACAGTCGCTCTTCATCTGGTGCTTCACCAATGTCGTCATTAGCTGAACTTGCTGAAAAACCAGAGCATAAAGATTCCAAGTTATGTGAAGAAGTATCCAGAAAAGGCAACACTTTGCATGTTGTTAGTCAAAGAAGGAACTCATTGGATAGCAGCGAAGTAAAGCAGGTATTTTGTGAGGACGGAAATGGATATGTTTGTATGTCTTATGGAGACAGTGATAATGGTAGCTATGCAGAAGTGGCTGCAGAAAACAGAACCTCAGACTATCTCAAAATGACAAGATCTGATGTAACTGACAAACTTTAAAATCAAAGCATATTTCATTAGATTACAAAACTGTGAAAAACGTACCACATTATACAGAGTCCTGTGATGAAAAATATATAAACTTAAGAACAAAAGGCAGAAAAAATACTCAAGACTCAGTGAACTTAGCAAGTTTGGAACAAATGTATAAGCCAGTTAGAAAACAGAAATGTAGCCTAGATTGTTGGACATATGTGTTTACACCAGTAAACAATAACAGTCTGGTCAAATCTGAGCTTGGTATACTCACAGAACTCTCAGGAATAATGTATAAATTTGGGCATGAAATGTACTACCTGTGTCACAAGCTTAGTAGCCACTGGTACGTAAAAATGCAGTGTTATTGTTCCTTTTGTTTCTCTTCAACCAGACAACATTCTAGAATATGTGAAAATTTAGATTGCTACCCCTAAGAAATCATCTCTAATACCCACCCAGTCAATAAATATTACACTGTTATGGCTACACTGCAAACACCTGTCAATGAATGGCCTACAGTGACTTCATGTGCTTGCGCAGCCTTTTTTCTTGCTATTAATGCTAAGAACTGGATTCCATATGGCTCTGGTTTACCTAAAAATTGCTGTAGGTTAACTATAATGAAACAAAAGTCAGCACAAATTTCCTTTCCCTCTTGAAAGGATAACAGTCCTTGCTGTACTGATTCAACTTGATCCGTGCATAGACATTCGTCAACCACTGAGGTTTTAGCAAGCAAGTCACTTCTCTCACATGAGTTCAATTATCCTGAACCTCTTAGAAAGCTCTTTTTTTTTCTCACTAAAAATAGCACTGGAGACAACATTCCTGTACCAGTGTCATCTCAGTTTTCTCTACCAAAAGGAGCAAGCGTTTCATAAAGTGTAGCTGAAGCTATCTACTTATAGTTCACACACTCCTTATCAGTAGGTAGTAATTTCAGTTGAACTATATTTTTTTAGACTTTGCTCTCCTACCCCATAGAATTATCTAAAAACACCAGAATCTATCCATGCTCTCTAGCCAACCTTTTGATCTAGAAAAGTTAAAGACCATTAATTTTCTCTTGTTCAGGTTAACTTTACTAAATCAAAGGTATTCAGACTGTTTGTGAGAAGACAGAGTTTAGTAACTAGTCATTAAGGTGTTTTATTAACAATTTAATTTAAAGTTTAATTTGGTTGGACTGAATAGTTGTTTTTTAGTGAAGGTAGTCCATATTAAGTTAGAATTTACTTGTGCTTGTATTTTCAAGCAAAAGAAAAACAATTAAAAGTTAAAGTAAGTTTGCAAATCTTTAAAATAAATCTTTAAAGAATTTTTATATTTTGTAAAAGTAATTTGTGCTCAGTTGTGTTAATTCATTACTTTATATTGCATATTTTTATGCAATTAAATCAGTAAAGTTTATTAAATGCCCAGATTTAAGACTACAATTGAAAAATAGTTATTCTTTCTATCCTGCTTTCAGTAAAACTCTGAGTGCAATACTTTTGTATATTTTAACTTTATATGTTGCAGAAAAAGCTGCAAATATTAGTTATGTAGCAAAAACAAATGTTAGTACATATCATTAGTAAGTAATGATTTAATGCTGTTTCACTATTTCTTAATTTTTAAATATGCTATACGATGGTGCAATGAAAGTATATTTATATACCTTAATCTACTATAGTCCAAAACAAGAGTCTGCAAGTTTATGGAATGCTTACTTAGATTTCCAATCTTGTACCTCTCCAGAGGCATTTCTCTGCCAATGCTGGTTTCATTTGTGTCAGAACTAGCAAATCTGATATTACTAATACTGTGAAACTGTAATTAACTTTCTTTTCACTGTATCACTGAATGGTGTATAATTGTATGAAAAGTAAAAATTGAATCAAGATTTAGATTTAAAATTCTTTCTTTAAAGTTTTTTGTTTAGATTCCAGTATTACCTTGATCAAAGGAAATGCTGATGAAATATTTTAGTAAATGAAATTGGTATAATGATTAGCTTCTTAATTTCTTCATGGCATTCTTATGAAACTCCAGTGAGTTTGTGTAAAAGAAGCTTCAAGAAATTGTAGATCTCTCAGTAGGCTTGTTTATTCAATTCTGGTATAGAAATAATTATCTAATTATTTTTAATAAAATAATTTGCTAAATAATTTATTTTGCAATTTTTTAGCTGTATAATCTTCAGAGAATGTGTGAAAGATACTGGTTTTAGTATACTTAGATTAGTTGAAACTTTTTAATGTGTTACTCATGAGAAATACATTAAGTTGTGAAGATTTTGTATTCTTTTTATAGATGTACATAAAACAATACACATCTATATCAAGACGATATTCTCACACATTCTGGTGTCCTCACAGTGTAATTCATTTAGGTAATATGACTTATGGTATATATTGACAAAGTTGCTGAGATTTAAGAGTAGCAAGTTGGGTGATACTTTAGAGTAATAACATTACACTTATTACCTATCATGTTGTGATGTTTCAAACGTATCACCCTAATAATATTGTTTTATATTTTTTATCTAATAAGGCTTGAAATCAGCACAAGTTATGTTTAATTTTCTATATTACACTGAAATTTGTAAGAGCATTACATCAAGGAGGACTTTGTTAGATCTCCCATAAAAGGAAGAATTTTAATTTATCAGTTTAACCTGTTAAATTGTTTATATTCCAAAGAATAGAATATCAAGTTGGACAGTGATTTTATTATTTTTTTTAGAAGAGTAAACCTTCCTCAGTAGTAATACTGCAGAAGTTAAAAATCATAGTTCCAACTTCTGTGAAGTTAAGACAGTTAGTCATTAGTAGTTACTTTGGTTAAAAGTTGTTTTATTAGTGAGATATAAGATAAATTAGTCATTTCAACACTGTGTAGTTAACATTCAACAGAGTGAAATAACTGTAATATTTTATACAACGTTTGATAAAAAAAATACTGCAATAATCAATGTCCTTGTATTCACACTGGATTAGGTTGTAATATTTTTGAGCTGAGCTGGTTAACTAATAAAGAAAAAGAAGGTAATTGAGCTCCAAAATAGTATATGTTAAAAATTAAATGAATAGATGTTTTTTTTATTTAAGACCATGAAATACTTTAACTTAGAAGTACAGTTTTTGTATATAAAGTTTGTGTATACTTCTCATTATTTGCAGATTTTCTTCAGATAACATTAAGCAAGTAAACTTAGCTTGGTGTTTCATAGGTTTGAATTGTTAGTGTACAGGTGTTTGTTGTGATGACTGTATTTTTCCATTGCATTCAGAAATTTGTACAGACATGTCCACCAAATCAATTATAATCACAGAATCCATAGGCAAGAAATTAATAAGGTTGCTTAAGTAGTATATCTAAGAATGGATGTCAGTTCTATCTTTTATGAACTAATGACCTGTAAGTGAAAAAAGTTAGTAACTTTTTGGTTTTTTTTTTTCTCTTTTTATGTACATATCTTTAGAACTTGAGCCAGGTACACTAAACTGACAACAATAAAAGAATTTAAAT